TGAACATCTCGATACGATCATTTTTGACGAAGTTACACTCTCTTGAATTTTGCCTATTTTTGGAGGGTAGAGTAAGTGATGCTTTAATTTTGTTGAGAAGTGTAAATTTTTATGTTTAGCTCATAAAAATGTAAGAGCAGTTTGGACTCATGGTGGTCTTCTCAGCACACAGGAAGCCATTTGGAAAGGTATACCATTGATCGTAATGCCTTTCTTTATGGATCAAAAATCCAATGCACAAATACTAGTAGCTAAAGGTGTTAGCATATATTTGGACATCAAAACTTTGTCCAAGCAGACCATATTACATGCAGTTGAAGAAATACTTTACAATGAAAGGTATTATATTTCGATTACGTTTCGATATTTTAATTATTATTTAAGCATTAAATAAACAATATAATCATTTATTGTAAATTAATGTCTATATTAATATAGTATAATTAGTAATTAAAATTTAAAATTTTCTTAAAAGCACAATTGTCTGTAAAGTAATAGATTATAAAATTTGTTTTTCCAATTTTTTTATTCATGTATCTTTCTGTAGATTTTTTATGTAGTAAGACGTGTAAATATGTATTACGTCATTAATAATAAAATATCTTTTGTGTAGTTATACAAGAAATATGAAACAATTATCCAGTGAATTCCGAGATCAGCCAATACCGCCGTTAGATTTAGCTATTTGGAGCATTGAATACACCGTCCGTCATCCAAACGGAACTTTAGTAACTCCGCTTAGATTCCAGAGCTGGATAGAACAGAATTTAATCGATGTCTATGCATTTTTATTCTTTAATCTTATCATAATATTAATAAGTTTATTTTTTGCAATAAAAATGCTGATTTATTTTTATTATAATTATATATATCCGGCATCTAAATTGCACAAAAGCAAACAGACGTAAGCTAATAGACAGAAATATTAATAGACATCGCATATTGTAATGTTAATCTAATAATAAAATTAATGTGTAAATATAGAAAATATAGTATTTAGTGCAAAAATTGATTAGAAATTATATTATATTAAATTGTAAAATAAATTAAAATAACGATAAATATTAAAAATGTTTAATAAAACATTTTTGGCTTATAAAAGCTTTTTTTAGCTATAATTAAAATAACACATTATTGTTTAGCGAAATTTTTATTAAAAAATTTAGACAAGACTTTATATTTTTGGCAATTTTCGAATTTTTAAAAAATAAGTATAAGGAACATACGTTTATCTTTATAATCGATTAATGAATTGATACGAAATAAAACGGAAAATATTCTTGTACCAAAAATAATGGTGCAAATTAAAAATAAATTTATTTATGGAAAATGAAGAGAAATTTGATTTTAAAATAAAGGGCATCTCCTGCAAAGTACGTGTACTACAATATGTATTGCTTTTCATGAAACAATTTATATTCATATTTGCTAAATACAGTGTGGCTGCAAAAGTATGATTATATATATTTTTCTGAAATAGTGATAATCAGAATAAACAATAGTAAATAAACAAATTATTTTTTAAATATTTTGAATAAATTATTATTTTTTAATTAATCTAATACAGCATGTAATTTTAATATTGAGAATAAAAAAACGAAGAAAGTGGTAGTAATATCGTTGCAATTAAAAAATTGCTGAGTTACTTTGTAGGACTATTATAGCTGATTTCTTTAACTTCTTTCGGCGCTTTTGTAATAGTAGGAAAAGAAAAATAAATCTCAAGTTTTCTCAAAAATTTAATTATTTAGTTACATTGAAATTCAAATATTAAAGTCACTAATTAAGATTTGAAGTTAATTATTTTGCAATAAAATATAAATTCTTTTTTCATTCATTTGTTTTTTCTTATTATTTTTTTAAATATCTTTAACAATTGAGATTTGGAATAAAAAACATAAAATTTGAGATTCTGATTGTAAGATTCTAAAAAGTAGAGAGAGAGAGAGAAAGAGAGGGGGGGGGGGAACACATAAAATAGGTCTTAATCGGACTGGGCAACCTCCGCGTGGTACATTTTGAATATTGCTAATGCCGGCGGTACTGTACCTTTCAATCTTCATAACTCGAAAAGTACTAATTAAAATAAGATTTCATTACAATGTTTTGAAAGCTCTCGAGGTAAGCTACAAGAACATGCAATAAAAATGTAGGTTGTTCCATTTAAGAAAACATAATCCTAAATCTAGCCTTGAGAAGGTCACTCAAAGTCAAAACCATATTTCCATCATATGTCCTCTACAACTTTTGTCTGAAACATTTTTCCATATTTAAAGTTGTTTCCGAGATATTAAGCCTGGGTCAGACTTTATAGACACCCTGTATGAACATATACGGTCATATCATTCTCTTGATATGTTTGGGGTTTAGATAATTTTTTGAAGCGTATGAATTAAGTATGCAATTTCACGTATAACAAGATGACGCGTGCGCTTTGCTTGCGTTGGGTAATTTCAGTGATTTGTGATATCCAGTGTATTCAGATTCAGTGGAAGGTCGCCAGAAAGTTGTCTTTGCAGACAAAAATTGTCATATAAATCGTAAAAAGTGACTACAGATTTTCACACTTGGATTTGTAGTGTGTTCCCGTACACGTAGGAAGTATAGACTCAATTCTTTGAGCATTCCTTGAAATTGTCGCTCTCATCAATTTAGAAAAAGTGAAGTACCTTGATTAAGATCGTTCTCTCCAAAATATCATTTTTCGACATCGAGACACGTATTAATGATAACATCCTCTTCTATGCTCTCCCCCCATCAAGGCGAATTCAAAAGAGATAACAAAACTACTAAATATTGCGTTCTCTTTTTAACGAAGCATAAATGCTAATTGTACGTTTAGTTATATAGAGAATGCGCAGTTTATATTTTCTACCTTTATACATATATATATATATATATATGTATATATATATAGGAAACTTTATATTTTTTTAAACTTTATAAACGTGCTTTTGCAAAATATAAAGTTTCCTATATATATATATATATACACAATAGGAAACTTTATATTTTGCAAAAGCACGTTTATAGAAAAGAATATTATTATATATGTTAAATTTGTCTTTAAATGAGTTTTTATTTAATTCTAAAAGTACTTCAATATTTTCAAAGATTACGGTATCGATAAGGCAATTAATGTAAGTTTAAGAAGTTTAAAAATTAAGAAATGTGTATAAATTCCGAGAACCAAAACTTCCGAGAATCGAAGTTTTGTTTAAAATATCTTTGCATATTTCTTATCGTTTCGACGGTTACTTAAAAACATGAAAGTTGACTTTTTGAATATTCAACTTCTTATTATATAAAAGTAAGAGCATAAACAAATTATGTATAATTATATAGATATGTATATATGTATATATAATATAAATATACGTATATGTATATATATATATATACTTATATAATTTATTTATGCTCTTACTAACTTACATAAAAAGTTGAATTAAAATATCCAAAAAGTTGACTTTCATGTTTCTAAGCATAAATTGTCAAAATGGTAAGAAATATGTAAAGATATTTTAAACAAAATTTCAATTTTTGAAAGTGATATATATATAAAAATCGGGAAGAGATAAAGATCTTTAGGCTTATTTTCTTGTATGAAAACAAGTCAATGTTATCAGTTTGTTACGTGCCGTTAAATTTATCGTTTTTTTTTACGATAAACACTATTAGCTTGAAATAAGGAAAAAAGGAATTGAAAATACTATACACCTGTTAACTTTTGGTCTTAGAATTTGATCGAAAGACTACGTGAGAGGTTGCGCGTTTGCTACAACAATGTCAAGTTATTTAATTTTATTGTTTCATGTAGTTTGTTATGCTTTAATGGGTTTCGTGACAGCGTCGAAACCATTGTCAATTTTATTGATGCAAACTCTTCCATCGATCAGTCATCACATTTGGACGGAGAATTTGGTTAAAGGGCTGCTTCGTGAAGGCCATCATGTACATGTAGTGAGCACAATTGAAATTAAAATTGAGGGTAAACTCGTGCAAAACTTAACGAATGCCGTAAGTAGACATTGATTTTAGTTAATTCTAAATATAAATTAATTATTAGAGAAATGTCGTCAATACTACTTTATTTTTGAATTACATTTCTTAAAGAAAAGCTCATAATATAACTTTGGAAACATAAATACAAACTAGAAAGTATCTTGATTAAGCTAGTTGTATCAGATATATAATATAAGTAGCAGTTTTCTATAATGCTGGAATTTTGCAATATTTAAAATTGTCGTAAAATAAAGCGAAAAATGAGCATCTGAGAAAAATGAGCCGATAAAAATGAGAAAAAGAAATATGTAAATAAAACAATTTTAAGAAACTACAAATATGTAATACATGTAAAAAAATAATATTAACAATACTACATCCACTATTATTTAACCTACACAATTTGCAAACAAAAGTTAGGAATTAAGATTATTTTCGAATTTATTGAATTTGGTTTTAGATCATTTTATATAGATACAAGTCAGAAATATATTATTGTACTCATATTTAAATTTTTATTTCTTCAGTTATTTAAACAAATTATTTTTTTATTAGTATTAATAAAGTGCAATATTTAATTTCTAAGAAATAAATGGATATCTTTTTAAAAGGCCAATATTGAGATTGATTGGATTTTAATTTAAATATTTATAAAACATGTAAAAGAGAGAACTTTTTTGTTTTGAAACATTGTTTTATATTTTACATAAGATTAATATGCTTTTGGAGATCCTATCACATTTCACAAGTAGTAAAAAGTACTTTAGGTTTTTATAAATTTATAAGATTATTTCCAGATTTTCGAAAATGCGATGACTTTTGAGGACGCAAATTACGGTCCCGATCAGTGGGAAAAGCTCATGGAATTTTATATGGCGCATGTTACATATCAATTTGCTATCTCATACTGTGATATATTAATAAAAACTAATGCAGCAAAACAACTATTAGAAATGATCAAAACTATCAAATTTGACGTCATAGTAGCGGACATTTCTCTACATCAATGTTTCTATGGATTGTGGGAGGTACAATAAGCGATGCATATTCAGAAAACGTTCAGTAATTATGTAGTAAATTTTTAATTTGCATAAGCGACTGAAATAGCTTTGTGAGTCATATTTTGTTTGCCTGGCACTGTGCAACCTTGAAAATATTTAATCTGCGATAACATTAATTACTTACGCTTGTTACTTAAAAATAAATTCACGTTGAAATAAACAACATTTACTTAGGTTTTCATTATACGCAAAATGAGAAGGTATTATAACGTAAAAATTTCATGGCATTCATTTCATAAACATGTTATGTACCAATCAGAAAGTTGCTGAAATTAATATAATCATTATTTTGTAATATAAATAGACAGAATGAATTAAACACTATTGTGTAAAAGAAACTAGTCATTTGTATTAACACGCAAAAAAGAGCATATATATATACAAACTTGTAAAAATAAATATTACAAAAGAAGTCAATATGTCTAGTGCAATGGTTTAATAATATATTGTTGTGCAAAAAAATCCTTACACAAACTCTAGAAGGAACTTTCGCACAAATATGTCACGAGCGGACATTTTATCTAAACTAATTTTCTCGTAATTTAAAATAGAATCGATGGAAAGGATTAAAAAGTTATTTAAAGGCTCGAAATAAGAGCCACAATGGTATAAACTGATAATTTGGAAAGCAATAACAGGGGACGACCGTTATCATAAACAAAGTATTGATTTTAGATTTGATTTCGTGTGGGTAAGAATTTTTCTCCTGATTAACAAGACTAACAATAAAAGACAAAGAAGTGGTGAGAAACTCGCACGACGGTCGAGTAGAAAAAGTAATAATTGCAGAGTGTGGCTCACAATCAGTCAAACTATTTCTATAAAGCATAGTGCTTCTCATAAATCTTTATTCTACTCGTATACTAAATGTCGGTTCGAGCGTGCGTTGCTCAAAAAATTGATTTTCGCTTATTGAATAATTTTCTTATTTAGTTGAATCAATTTACAAGTATTGTCGACAGTCATTAAAAATAATTAAATAGATTAGATATCACAGCGCAAAATATATTTTTGAAACAATAATTTTCTGAACTTGCGTAATAATTAAGAATTTTTTAAAATTATGCTTTTAGAGAATTCTAGACAATCCCTTTTAAGAAAATGAGTGGCCAAAATATTTTGGAACATGTATCATTGAATAATGCAACCTGCAGCTAAAATTATTGACTTTTTTAAATAGTATATATATTTTTAGCATGTATCTCTTGTATTCATTGTATAAATATTGTAAATTATTTAGCATGTATCTCTTGTATTCATTGTATAAATATTGTATATTCGTTTTGCATTACGTGCTAATAAAAATAACTGATTTCTTTATACAGTACATATGTTTCGGCAGAATATATACTTTAATTTAATTAAGTTATTACAAAATAATATTTATAGGCTTACCATTATTACCATATTTTTTACAGGTTGCTAAGGATCAACCACCCGTAGTGGCCGTTTTGCCGTTAGGCAATATACCATTGATCAAGAATTTTATTGGTGTTTCAAGTTATTCGACTGTTCGACCTTATACGAGTGCAACCTTTGCAAAACCCGTAGGATTGTGGCTGAGAACGTGGAATACTTTATATTACATTGTGGACGATCTCATACGCTATTATTATTTCTTGCCTACCGTTCAACGGCTCGCCGAGGAATATGTTGGCCACACAATCAGGCCATTATATGAAATAGAAAAAGACAAAGTTAATATCATATTAGTACTATTAGTCAATAGTCATCCTGCATTTGAGTCTGCGATTCCATTACCGCCGAACGTCTTGGAGGTTGGAGGATTGCATGCTCAAATCGTGCAACCGATTGCCGGTGATGTAATCGTAACGTATTCCGAGGTAAGAGAAATTGTTTTTTTTTTATTTGACAAGTAGTCAAAATGATAATAATAATTATTGGTAAAAAAACTGAATGTATTAAAAAAATTAAAATTTAACAAAATTGTTAATAAAATTAATAAAATATCATTCAAAGAATTCACTATAACAAGAGAAAACATATATATATATATTCATGTATGTCTTTTATATGGTATTTAAAACCATAAAAAAATATACAAATGTATATATACATATAATGTATAATTATACACATAATAAATATATAAAGAAAATACGGTAAGAACTCTCATCAAATTGTATAAATTAAAAAAATTAATCAGATTTTTCTTAATCTAATAGTTTATCATAAATTTTGCTAACTATAAAAGCATTTTTTCTCATTATATTATTGTATGTACAGAATAATTTATAAATGCATGTCAATATTGCATCAAGGAGTAAATCTGTACACTAAAATAAGTAAAGAACGTCATATATGAATATATGTCCTACATACCTTAATTAGGATTCGAGTTATGGATGATTTAAAAAAATATTCGAAATGCCCGCCTCGTTTATTCTCCTTATGCTTATTGATGGAAATCCAACAACATTATCAAGGATTTTTTCTTCGATCCAAGTCACACATAGTCTCTTCTCGCGGTCGCCCGTGATCGTGTGCTAACAACTTAAACGTTCTCGGAGCCATCTATTAATGGAAGAAAATATTTTGCGTTTCAAAATTTTACATTGCCGAAAATGTTCTACAACCAACGTGCTTTATTTACATTCATTTTCGTTAGCACGGCCATACATTAAATGCATGTCGGCCATTTCAGCATAAGTGCATATTATTATTATGTCGCTTTTAGAACAGTGTTCAGAATAGTAATGAATTCGCGAGACTAAGATACTGACTGCCTGAAATTCTGTCTGATTCATATCGATGGATATTGTTTAGATTAGATAAGATTTAGACGCTAAGACGTATGCTAAGATACGCGCACGCTTATACTAATTGTAAAACGTAGCATATATGTGTTAACGAGGTGGGCATTTTAAACATTTTCTTTAACTTCATTCATATATAACTCGAAAACTAAGATAGGACATATTTATATGAGGTTTTTTTACTTATTTTAGTGTGCCGATTTACCCCTCGTAATATTGACATGCATTTATGAATCACCCTTATATACAATATATTTAAAAAATATAAAAAATATATTTATACACGGAAAGAACACTTTTGCTGAATCCAGATCTGAAAATAATTTTTGTTCAATAATCAAAATAATTTTGTGCAAAAGTCAAAATGATTGCTAGAATATCAAAACGTTTTATAACAATGCTTATCAGTTTTAACACTGTCTCTTATACACATCTCTG